TCACTACTTAGAAGAGGGCAAGCTGTGTATCCATCTGGTTCACCAGAATGGTTGTTTTCTTTTCTGAGAAACAAAAAACAAAAAATATCTGAAGTTGTCTATTGGTTCACAGGTGTATGAAGTTTGTGGACTTCACAGACCAGAGGTGTCTCGGGCGGTTTGAGTTTTAGCTTGGAAAGGCAAATCCAAGAATTGCTTTCCTGTATCTTCCTGGCTGGTTGGGTTGTCTGATGTCGGCTTCTACTCTGGGTTGCTGGCACCTCCTGTATCTGCTGAGGTTTCTCGATTGCTGATTGCCCTAGTATCTGGTGAAGTCTCTAATCTGCAATAAAATCCCTGGTCTTGTTGTCCGTTGAGGTCTCCCAAGGTTTGGTACAGTTTTTCTGGCTGGCTCACCACAGGTTACAGCTGAGTGAGCTGAAAATACTATAGGTCACTCAAATCAAAGTTGAGATCTCCACAGTTTCCATGTCTCTTTTTAAGTCCCTTCCTGGGCACCAAGATAAATGTCACCTGGTTGTGTGTAGTGATCCCTGAGGCTGAAATAAAGAATTTAATCCACACTTTTAAAATAAGTTTGCAGATACATTAGTAAAAGAGACCTGAGAAGAGTTTATTAGAGGTATATAGAGATAGGATGCAGTTGCTCAGTGAAATGAAGCCAAATATAGTTGGGAACTGGAGATGTTTAATGTGCTGTGGGTGGTGAAAATCTCCTCTTTCTCTTTTACAGCAGTGTGTTTCTTTGTTTACTTACTTGCACTGTAAAAGATCGCACAATCTTATATATTTATAGGGTACAATGTGGTAATTTGATGCATGTGTACAACGCATAATGGTCAGGTGGTTAGCATTTCCTTCTCCTTAAATATTTATTCTTTCTTTGTGTTGGGAGCCTTGTAACTCTTCTAGTGCTTTATAAAACACACAGTAACTTGTTGTGAACTCTCCTGACTCTCCTGTGCTGTAGAACACAGAACTTTTTCCTCCTGCAGCTGTACTTTGGTAGCCATTGTCTGACCTCCCTCTATCCCCTCCTTCCTACCCTTCCTGACTAGCAAAAATTTCTACTCTCTGCTATGTTAATTTTTTTCACTTCCATGTGCAGTGTTTGTCTTTCTGTACCTGGCTTGTTTGTTAACAGAATATCTTCCAGGTCCGTTCCTGCGTCTGAGATCTTTTCCTAAAGGAGCTAATTCTGACCATGAGGATCCACCCTCATGACCTGGTCATCTCCCAAATGCTGCATCTCCTAGTACCATTGCTCTGGGGATTAGGATTTCCACACATGAATTGGTGAGGGGAAGACACAATAATGTGCTCTGCTACAAGCCTGAGGGTATTGTTTGGGACTCCCTTCCTTGACCCTTAAGAGGTCCCAGTGAGAAGTGTTAGGAAGAGTTGAGCTATTTCTGGGTTCATCTTAATCTTGTGAGTTGAAACAGGCAGTTTCTCCCTTTGCTCTGACTAATAGGAAGCTCAGAGTCCAGTTTGTATCCCACCTTTGAGAACCGTGCAGGCCCACTCAGAGAACAGATCCGCGTACTCCGTTTTGGTTCATTGAACTGTTTGTTCCAGCATTGTTTTCTCTCTGCTCTATTTTTATCCTATTGTATTTTATTTATTTTTGTAAGTCAACTTCAAACTTTTTTGGAACAAAGCAGGGCATACAACAACAGAATTTAGCAGAGCCCTGTTGCCTTGACAGATTTTATATATATATATATATATATATATATATATATATTTTTTTTTTTTTTTTTTTTTTTTTTTAACATGCCAAATGTCACTTTGGGTTGGATTACCTGTTCAGGGAAGGCAGCCACCTTGTCCATCCCTCCTGTCTCTGTCTCCTTTTGTTTTCCCCTGTCTTCTCAAGGGTCTCTCTCTGAGAGAACAGCAGCTCAGTGAGTTATGGCAACAAGTTTCAGAGGCCAAACCACCAACATCCATCTGCCAGCGAACTCCACTCCTTCGCCCAAAATGTTTTTCCCAGCTTCCCATCTGGCAGTTGGCAGGAAGCCACAGGGCCTAGGGGAGATTGCAACAGGGGAAGTGGATAAATAAGCACTCCTATTTGTATTCCTAAAAATTTCTCTCTCTCTCTCTCTTTTCTTTTTTCCAGTTTAAACCAGGGCCTCGGGGCCCAGGGATGAACCATGCACAGGATACGACTGCAGTCCAGTTTGAGAGACCGCCTGCCCAGCTATGCAGAAGGGGGTCCCTCGGAAGCTGTTGTGGAGGGTCCTGATGAGCTGGGAAGAGGAGGGGAGTGTGATGCACAGGTGAGAGGCCTAGCCCTCCTTCCTGCCCTGAGTCCAGGCATCTTCCGGCCACTCCCACAGCTACAACCCTCTCAGCTCAGGGAGCAACTGCTGACGCACATGCATACAATCCGTCCTCCAGCTTGCCCTCACTTGCCTGCCCAGGGCCAAAGGCAGCCCAGTGGATTTCACAATCTCTGCTCCGTGCAATCCCTTGTTCTTCCAGCCTCAGTCTTCCCATCTCTAACTTAGGGGCAAGTATGAACCAATCCTAAGCTTTGAGGGTCCTAAGAATCCCTCACTGTCTGAAATCCTCATTGCTTTTGTCTTTCTTTTGGGAGTGGAGAACAGCCTTCCTGGAGAGTGGAAGGGCTTACATGAAGACGGGGTCAAAGGTGAAAAGCAAGCAGGACTAGCTTGGATATGAGCAGGAGCAGAGGTCTGAGCCTGTAGGTTTGGCAAATGAGGGACCCAATCACAACCCTGGTGCAGCCCAGCAGAGACAGAGGCCCTGAAAGGACAGTGATCTTCACTGAACCAGCAGCTGCTGCAGGAAGAGTGTGGTGCTGTCGATACTTTACCTGATAGCTGGCAGCACCCTCTTTTTCTTGGGCTGCAGGCTGGGCGAGGTGCGCATGCGACCTGCAAGGCCGCCCTCTTGTGCCTGGGCTGAGCTGCCTGGACAAGAACTGGGCGCATCTGGCCTTTCTGGGTCCCAGCATGGGGGTCACAGGCTAGGAGGCCTGGTGGCTATGGAGGGCTCTGGAGCCTATGACTGGTCCTATCTGGCTTCCCACTCACCAGGCCCATGCAGCCAGCCAGCTCCTTCACCCTGAGCTGCCTTGTCTATAAAATGAGGGGATACGCATAGTGTCAACCTCCCAACATTGTTATGAGGATTAAAACCAAAGCAGTGGCTGGTGTATGACAGTCAGAGGTGCTAACACGGTCCTCATCACACAGATGGGACAGAATAGTGTATGCCCAATAAACAAGAGCCCCTGAGGAAAGGGGGGCAGGACAGAAGATGCTGAAGGAGGGCTGGGCCTAGGGAGTGGCAGCATCCTAGGCTAACTCACCACGAGCCAGGAGGCTTGGGTCTTGCAACCTGAATGAAAATTACTAAGTGATGTCCCAGAAGGAGCTCCTGGTCTGTGCTTCTGGTTGTGGGGTGAGGGACCCTACATAACACACGTGAAATAAACTTTGCTGGTGGGGGGGGGTGTGAGGTTTTTCAGGTGAGAATGAGGAAGGAATCTCCAAGCCCAACCCACACTCAGTCTATCAAGGTTGCAAACGGAACTGATAAGAAGTTGAAATCAACTGAGTTAATGCCTAATAGTGAAGACAGAAAACCGACTGCTCAGGATGGGCCAGAACTGGTCCAGGACTAGCAGGGGGATCTCACCTGTGCCAATATGGAGCTCTGTCAGGGCTAGGCTAGGTTCTGCTGTCTCCAATCATTCTTGGGGTCTGGTCCATAGGGCCCTAGCCAGACTGTAACCTCATGGAAGCTGTGAGGCCAGCCAGGTCCCTGCAGGGTTCATGGAGAACCCTGAGTCTGCTGGTGCGGAGTCACAGGGCCACAGCATGTCTGACTAGACCTTCCTGCTGGGCCTCACCTGTCACCCCAAGGGAGGCTGCAGTTCCCAAAGACCACATCACTCCTCTTGGCCTGCCCCTTGGTGTCCCAGCCCTACTCCCTCCCGCTCCTGGCTACTCCACCACCCTTCTTTGACTCCACCTTAGCAAGTCCCTTATTAGCTGTAATGTCTGTCTAGAGACAGAGGGACGGGTGACATTTAATTACCCCTCTAATTGCTTCCCAGGGACATGAGTGAGGAGTCTAAATTTCTCTGTAGATGCTCAGGGGAGAAGAGTACAGCTTTTGCTGTACCAGAATTCAGTCAAATGTCTTCAGCCAGTGAATGCCAGCCCTGCTCAGACCACTTGTTCCTTTCTTACAGCCACCCAAGGCCGAGGGACCCTGGGTGTGAGGAAGGGCAGGCCTCGAGGAGGGAGCTCAGGCAGCAGGCGGAGGGCTCACCCAGTTCCCACACCCAGGGAAATGCACCCTAACCTGATTTCCAAAGGCAGGAAGCTCCGCCACACCCAGGAGTGGCAGCAGTGAAAGGGGCAGGGGCCTGGAATACAGCCTGGCACTCTGGCTCTGACTGATGCTGTGACTCTGGAGGAGGCCTCAGCCCTCCTGTGCACAGGAGAGGGGCACACAGAAGGATTCTGCTCACCGAGCAGCATAGTTGAACCAAGCCTGAGGTTGAATCTCCAGGTCTCGTGGAGAAAGGAGAACAAAGAGGAGACAGAGGCCCCTTTGTGCCAGCCCCTCCGAGAGCCGAGTGCACAGTACAGTCTGGGTGGAGGTCCTGTGCATGTGAACACCCAGCACCCCCTCATTCCATACAGCTGTATAAACCCCGCATCACTGCAAAGGTGGCCCGAGTCCCATTTTACAGGAGGAGAATGAGGCACCAGAGGCCCAGTGACCAAGTGCCCCAGCTCCCCAGCTGCTATGCAGCACTGAGGACGTCACAGTGTCTGAGCCACACGGCCTGCGCGGGGGGGGAGGAGGACAGACAAGGCCTTGTCTTTCCAGGAGATACCCAAGGGGCCAAGAAAGAAGCCACGCAGGCCTCTGTGAACACAGGCTGCCACAGGAGCCCGCTTCCACCACTCCCACCCTGAAGTAAGTCCCCAAAAGCAGACACAGATGCCAGCTGTGCTAGAGGGCTTTTTAATGTTTCCTTGCTGCTTTTAACAATATCATGAAAAAAATACACAGTTTAAAGTCTGGAACTGACCTAGGTGGATGCTGAGGGCCACCAATGGGGCAAGCACAGCCCCGTGATTCCACGGCTGAGGGAGCTCGGGGTCAGGAGCCAGGTTAGTGTCTCAGAGCTAGGGTCCCCGCAGGCTCGCCACCCCGATGGCCAGGACCCCTGTACTACGGTTAGTTCTCCCCAACTCCTCCCTCTGGCTAAGCAGAGGCAGAGGCTGGTCAGCCTATTCCCAGGACAGAAAAATAACCGGCAGGTCACCCTTGGGACTCACATGCCAGCTTCTACTCAGTCCCCTGGGTAGAGTTACAGGAGGAGGCACAAAACCTGAATTTCAGAAAAACAAGTCTTTAGCATTAAGAATGTTCCAAAAATTGTACGAGGTATACGAATACTAAAAAAGTTATCTTTTGTTTACCTAAAATTCAAATTTAATTTAGCCTTCTGGTTTTCGTTTCATAGATTTCTTTTTGCAGTTTTAAATCTGGCAATGCCCCCGGCCCCGCCCCTGGCCTCCACGGTGGGGGAGGCCTGGAGAAAGAAGAGGAAGTGTGCGTCCCACACAGGCTGAGAGAGCCAAAGCACAGCTCCACCCAGGAGAGATTATTTTTTAATAATAATTTTCCAGAAATCTACACTGGCTTCCTGCAGCTGTTAACAGCTATGGGGGTGGGGGTATGGGACAATTCGAGAACACCCCCCCATCATTCAGGTGGGGCTGGTTTCTTTGACACAGGAGTGTGCATCCCAGACTTGACTATGCTAACAGCCACTGCAACTTCCGAGAGGAGGAGTTACAGGAGGCATAAAGGTTTTCTAAAAGGATTCCATTCTATTTATTAACACTGTTCCAAATATTGCTCTATAAGGATTTAAACGTAATAATAAAGAACAAGCACACCCATAGGGCGGGGCCTCAGCCCTGTTCCTAGTGTCATCTGGGAAGGGCCCCTTCTCGGGAACCCCAGAAGCCGAGGGCTTTCCTTCCATTGTTACCATCCTGTCCTTACCCCCGCCAGGGGATATACGTAGTGTCTGGTTCACGGCTGGTCTCCTGCTCTGCTCTGCCTCTGAGGGGCTCAGGGGTCTGGAGCAGGAGCCGAGGATGGAGCTGGAGGGGGTGGATGAGACAAACCTCCTTCCTCCTGCTGCACTTGGCGCAGGACAGTGGCCATAGCAGGGACACCAGGCACAGGGTAGAGAGCCAAGTGTCCTGGCCAAGGAGTGAGCTGCCTTCGCTGACCTGCAATGGGTGCTCAAGGCAGGAACTCTGGGTAGCATCTGGCATCCATTTGGGGCCAGGCTGGAGAAAGAGGAAGCCAAGAGGCTTCTCTGCTTAGAGCTGGCCCCCCGGGGTGCTGCAGAGGACAGGTGCGTGAGGAAAGCAGTCAACCTGTCTGCACCCAGGTCAGCTTCTCAGGTCCTCTGAGGGCCGTGGGCTCGGCCGGAGCTCCTCATCCACAGGTCCTCGCTGCCGCTCACATGGTAAGGTCAAAGGGCACAGAGGGTGGGAGCGGGGAGAAAAGGCAGCCGCTGGCTCCAGCTGCTTCCTGACCACCTCACACTCGGATCTCATCCTCCTCCTCTTCGTCCATGAAGGAGAACTCCTTGTCAGCCTGCCTTGGGGCAGTGGCCTGGGCCCTGTCTGGGCCCCGGAAGGCTGGGCTGCGATCCTCCAGGACACCAGAGGTACAGCTGGACAGGGAACTGCTGTCCCGCGTAGTGTGGCTGCCTACACTGCGGGCTGAGCTGGGGCTGGGGGCGGCTGCTGCCGCCCACCCCTCCTCCTCCAGCGTGTGGGAGGGCCTCGCCAGGGAAGGGGCTGCCTCTGCCAAAGGGGCAGCTTGGGCGACCCTGGGGGGGTCCTCATCCGCGTGGTAACTGCCACCATCCTCCTCAGGGTCCCACTCGTCCTTGTCCATGATGCTGAGGACATCGCCCAGCATGGAGGGCCCCAGGTCAATATGAAAGGACATGATGGACTCGGCATGCTTCAGCCCATAGCTGGCTTTGGGCACAATGGGCAGATCCGTCAGGTCCCCGAAGGCCTGCTCGTCGAGAAGTGGGTCCGGGGAGTGGGGGCCTGTGGCTCCATTCCGACGGGGCCCCAGCTCCCCAGCAGCCGCCTCCTCCGCGCCGCCTTCCCCCGATTCCGCCTTCTTTACAGGGCTGGATGACAGGCTCTTGGGCAGCTTGCTGGAGCCCTTCTCTGCGGCCTCTTTCTCATTGAGCTGCGGCAGGGACATGGCGTTCTTGACGAAGAGAGCCGAGTCCCGAAGGGAGCCTAGCATATCCCTCTGCTCCCGGTCCCCCCGAGTCACCGACTGCGACCGCTTGCTCCCCCGGAACTTCCGAGACAGAAGGCTGCGTTTGGAAGAGGAGGAGGAGGCCTGCTCATCCAGGGACTCGCCGTCAGGCTCACCTGCCTTACTGTTGAGGAAGGAGGTGTCCCCAAAGGCGTCCCCAGCCCGGCCCACATGCATGGTATGGCGGAAGTCACCCAGCGGAGCGCTGATCATCTCAGCTGTGAGGTCCACGCGAGAACGGCGCTTGGAGTGCACCGAGCTGGACACCAGCTGCTTGAGAATCGGCATCTTGCAGGCTGCAAGGCGAGGCAGACCCTCCCGACGGTCTGGGATCAAATCTGAAGGGCAAGTCCAGTGGGTGGAGACCGGGCCACCAGGAAATCACAAGGCTGTAAGCAGAGCACAGGAGGGACAGGGTTAACGGACTGGCCACTCGGCACCAAAGCCCATCTGCCAAGGGGCTGTCATCTAAACCCCTGCTGCCCAACCCAAATAAAAAAATGTGCGCAAATCCAGCAATCAACCTACAGCACTGCCTATGTCTCATCCAAGGGCAAAGTGGTTCTGCACCTCTAGTGAGAATTCAGTAGCAAGAAACACACTTGCCCTGAAACCTTCCAGAGAAACCACCTTTCCCCTAAAAGACAAGGCCTCTCCCAGTCACTCCCCAAACCCTGATGCTGCAGGAGCAAATGAGACCATTCCCAAGGACGTGAAGGTGCTCAGTGATTCAGGACAGCCAGCCTGGAGACTTCTGAAGTTCCTCCCGCTATCTGACCCCATCTCTGTGGAGCTGGGGGACATCTCAGCTTGAGTTATAGTCTTTAGTAAAAAGAGAATGACAGACCGGGCACCCAAGGGGAGGGCAACACTGCTGAGCACTGACAGGAACGTGGGTGGCCTGGCTTTCCTGAAAGTGTTAGGGTGGGGCTGTGAGGACCAAAACCAGCTCCCCAGCCTCCCCGTCCCACTGAGTGTCCCACAAACAAGGATCTCGCCTGTAACAACTCCATGGTGGGCCTTTAAACTCTGGTCTCTCAGGGAGAATCTAGACTTGGAAACTCCCTCATTTCTCTAATCTTTAGTGGTGGAGAAGGGTAGAACCCTGGAACTTGCAGAACCCTTGCGGTAGGCCTGTGAGTGGGGTGGGGTTCTCAGGGGCTGCCTCCCTCCCACTCCCGCAGACAGCACAGCTCTCGGGCATCTCTATTCGAGGGCCATGCTGCCCACAGCAAAGTTTGGTCTGGGCACAGTGACCATGCTCCTCCCCACTCTTCCTCGCCTGTGCTCAACTTGGTCTAGCAGTAGCACAGTCTTCAAAGTCTCTGAAAGTCTAATACCTCCCCCTCCTACCATTCTCTGTCCCCCAACCCCAGTTTCTCCTCTTTGGCCTCTTCTCAGCACACAGCACCACTCTGGACTCCATACAGTCCATCTCCTCTTGCACACTTGTCCTCCAGCAAATACCTGGTTCTCAGATGGGCTAAGGGACAGACGCACTCCTAGTGATCTGGCCAGTCCACAGCCAGAGCGGACCCCCACCGCCACCGCCGAGGTGACCCTGCAGGACAGGCTAGCACTCATACCTTCTCACCAGACCCACAGACAAATTACCTTCCCCTCACCCTACCCTCCTGCCTCAGCCACCTCTGAACAGACATTGAACAACCTGACCAGGGCCCAGCAAACCCTTTCTGCAAAGGGCTATCGTGCAAACATTTTCATCTTTGGGGCTGATACAATCTTTGTCACAACTACTTAATTCTGTCTTTTTATAAGAAAACAGCCAAACATAATATGCAGAACAAATGGACATGGTGGTATCCCAATAAAACTTTATTTACAGAAAACACCAGGGCTGGCTGGAGGGTGCTACGTGCCAGGCTTGAAACCTTCCACTGGATTGCTCCCAGGTGTGGCCTCTAAATAAACTAGTACATGCAAAAACAGAAACAAATGACAGGGTAGACTTGGCCCTTGGTCAAGTTTGCTAATACTGAATGCCATAGGTGACCGTGGGTCACCCATGAGTCCTGGGCCCAAATGGGACTAAAATTCTCGTAGGCTAAATTCTCTTTGCCAGTCATGTTGGGCACAGAAGAAAATTAAAGCACATTTCCATGAGATCCCGGTTCTCTGCTGCCAGGGCAGGCAATGAGCCTGAGCCCAGCTCCAGAGCACAGGACTCTCAGATTGCAGGAAGGATGCATACCCACAGCAGCACTTTCACCCTATGGGTGAGAGCAGGCTCCCTGATTAAAGCACCTCGGTGGGGTTCACGCCCCAGGGGCAGAGCTGGTCTTGGGCTGGTCCCACTTTGGTGGTGCTTCTGCCCACTACAGGTCCTTCTCTGGCCTTGGTGGACAGCAGCACTGCACTGCTCTTGACCACTACCAACCTAGTGCCCTCCCCACCCTGGCCAGGGGGTGCAGAGAAGGGAGGAGACAGCCTGGCTGCTGCCTCGAGGAAAGTCCTGTGCAGTCCTGGAGCAGATCCTGACACAGCAGTGGCTGTGCGTGAGTACTGGAGGTGGGATGGCACTGCCCTGTGCATAGTAATGTTCACAGCGTGTCTGGCCACTACCCGCTGGGTGCCACACGATTCATATCCATTGTCCTCTCATCACCATCACCATCAGCGGCGTAGGGGAGACGTGTAGGGGATGGAACCCTAGGCCACTGAGCTACGTCCCCAACCCTTTTTATATTCTGATAGGGTCTCACTAAGTCACTAAATTGCTCAGGCTGGGCCAAAACTTGTGATCCTCCTGTCTTAGCCTCCCATAGGGTTTGGAATATAGGCCTAGGTCTAGGTCTACCCCAGTTTTGGCAACCCAAAAAGTCTCAAGACAGCCCAATGTCCCTGGAGGCAAAGCTGGCCCAGTCTGGGATCTACTACCCTACTCATGGAAGTAAGGCACAGTACTGCTCAACAGCAAAACAGAGGCACGGAGGGGGCACCAAGGGTAGGAACTGGGTAAAAGCCTGGTCACCAGACACTGAGTTTCATAAGGGTTTTGATGTAACCGAGGAATCCCCAGACCAAGAAGCTCAGCAAGCGCTGTGGTTTCCCAAGCGAAGCACTCAGCAGAGAGCAGAGGGGAAACCACGGCTGCCAGGACTCACTGGAGTGCGTGCTATGGACTCCTGTGGTCACCAAGAGGAACCAAGTGTCCAGGCCGTCACAGCTATAGGTCAGGGGGCTCGCCATCATCCCATTAGCTACCCTTTACCCAGCACAGCTTGGCAGGTAGGGCTATGAAGGAGAGGGCAGTGAGGACACTCAGTGAGAACAGATGTGTGGCATTGCCACGCGTGTGTACCCTTCCTAGGCCAGCCTAGGGCCCCCCAACATCCTGCTTGGCTCCATACCCCGAAAAGTGGCAAGTCTCTCAATGCCATCTGCTTCCTAGGCCTCACTCCCAGGGCATGGCATGAGTCTTTGAGGCTTGTGACAAGTCACCTTCACTATCCAGGAGGGAAGAAGGGGCCCAAGAAAGCTGGGGTCTACACACAACCTCTGCTTGCCTCACCATCTCAGTGATGAGGGTGCCGCGGCACCCAGGCGTCCAGGTAGGGGCAAGCCTGGGTCTGGTGGGGGGGGGCCTGAGTGTGAACTCAGATGAGACAGGATAGACTGTCAGCTGAGGCCAGCAAGAACTCACTTCTTGGGTTGTTCTTAGTCTTTGGTGTCACAGGCTCATGTGATGCTAAGTCACCCTAACAGAGAATGAACAGGAGGTTAAGAGCAAGGAGGTGACAGGAACCACAGCTCTGACCAAAGGCCTGGGGATGCAAGTTTGGGGTCTTCTAGTATCTACCCAGAGGGGATCAGGCCCTAGGAGCTTGGGAGGAGCACTGCTAAGCTCTGACTCAGCCTTGGAGAAGAGGCTGAAACAGGCTGCCTTCCTACGACAGCCAGCCCTTCCCATGGTTTCCCACTGGGATATCCCCAAACCTCCTGCTGCCTTGCGGAGAAAGGTGAAGTCCCCCAGCTTGTATGAGCTCCAGGAGGGAGGCTTACCCCACTGGACACAGAACCCAGTAGGGAATAACCCTCAGCTCAGCCCCTGGGAATACAAAGGACAAGCTTTGCCCGGCCCTGTCACCACCCTCCCTGGCAGGGTGCATGGCAAGTGCTCCCCCCACACCGCTCAGCAGCCCTCGCCAGCCCAGCAGTGGCCTGCTCCTGGCAGTGTGGTCCGAAATAGGACACAGACTGACCTATGGCTCAACCCAGTACACACATGCTTCAATGCCCACTGCCACTGCCAAGCGCAGCCACCCCCGCCACGGGCCCTTTCTGGGTCCTAACCAGCCTCTGGCATCAGCTGCAGCTCATACAGCTGGACAGAGAGTGCTCTGGTCTAAGATGACTTTAGTTATGGCTGGGAATGGTCGCTGGAAGCTATGTTACTCTTCATTACCCACTCATTTGACTGCCGTCTTGTTGAGACACCCCGCCTCCTCCAATATTTAAGCATATCCAGCCCCCCATATCCGATTTCACATCTGAACATCCAACCAACTGAAAACTTCTGCAAGAAATATTAGTTGTGCTGAACCTGCACAGACTTTTTTCCTTGTTATTACTCCCTAAATAATAGAGTAGAACCATGATTTTTACACCATCTGTAGGGAATTAGATATTATAAGCAACCTGGAGATGATTTAAAATATCTAACAGGATGCTCCCAGGTTCTATGAATATACTGGGACATTTCCTATAAAGAACTTGAGCGTCTGTGGATGTTGGTATCTGCGGGGGTCCTGGAAGCAGTTCCTGATGGATACTGGGCCTCCTCCTCTTGGTGCTGCCAGACTCTGGTCTGAATCCCTGGAAATCCCAGGAAAAGACTACTGCAGTCTTTTAGGGTGCTGGAGATGGAAGTGAAAACAGCATGGTATCTTCCCAGGTCCAGGCAAGTATGGGGGTGATGGGGCGGGGAACCTGTAAATAAAGCAGTGTCTCACAGAGCTCAGCATATCGAGGGAAGCGTGGGAGGGAGGACGCTGGGGCAGGCGCCCCAAGGACCCGGTGCCAGAGCTGAGCGAGGTGGAGCCAGCAATGCCACCAATGTCAGAGGGAACAGCACACACAGAGGCCACGAGGCAGGAACAACTGTGTGGCACTTCAGGCCTAGAATGAGAACCCATGTGGCCAGGGTTCTGGTCACGCAGAGCCCCTTCTGCCAGACAGGTGAGGGTTTGAAGGTCATTCTGTGTACACAAGCCAATAGCCATTTGTAAGCCGCAGAGTGAACTGGCTCATGATTTTGAAAACCCTCAGTGGCTCCTGCCATTGGAGGCAGAGGGCAGAGGAGCCAGGGATCACACCAGAGTCTGGCAGGACCAAGAGGAGGAGGCCCAGACATGGACGTGGCTATGGA